ATTTACCATAATTGAGTTTTTCTAACTCTTTCATGTTTGGCTAGTCCTTTTTCTTAGAGGAAAAGGTTTTAGGCTTCTACAAATTGAGAATCCTTTATTCTCATTCAGTAGCATCCACAATGTAGCCATATGGGGTTCGAGAGTCTTTTTTAGGGGAGAACTTTTCGGGACAAGTGTTAGTGTGCCACTTGTATTTGCCTCTTTGTGAGGTTGTTCCCTCGATATTTTGTACTCTCTTTTATATAGTGAACTACTCATCTTCGCCAATGGATGTAGGTCAAATTGATCGAACCACATTAAATGTTTGTGTCTCTTTTGATGTATTTATCTTTTATTGTATGATTTAACGTCGTCGTTTAAGGTTTGCTTTCTTAACTTTCGCATGACACCTTATTATTTCGATCCTAACATGTTTGTCTCTTAATGGGATGGAGTGAAAAAGTATGTTATTCACATATAATTTTTTAAGCTACTAACCACTAGAGTATCTAGTGGTTAGTTTTATTAATAAAATCAAACTTGTCCCTCACATTAATGTAAAAAATGTGAATTTGCGAAATTAAAAGAGCTAGTATCAACTTAGATTTTCTAGAGTACTCCAACTTGATATTACTATAAAATAAAAATTTAGCAAATGTAATGAAGGGCATTGCATTTGCCAAGATTAAGAACACGATTGTATTTCTTGAGAAAAATGGTAATCTTGCTCTCCTACTTCAAAAGCAATATTAGCTATCCGCAAGTTGTTCGCTTCCTCTCAACTTATGTTGTTCATATTGTTTTTTGTTTCACTTAATATTACTTTTTTCTATTTTGTTCTTGTAAATAATTGAAATATGAATTATTTATGATTTTGCAAGGAGCTAAAAAGATTAAGGTGTAAATCATTAAAAAGAAGACGATTTAAATCACAAAAGAGTACATACATTAAGGATGCAAATTGCAATTACTCTATTTTGTAAATGGCTTTCAAGTCATTGTTACTTTGAAGATACATGGATGAACTCGAGTGACTTTATTGAATAAAAAAAATAATAATAACTTTGCTACGTAATTTTGTTAAGTTGAATATCCATTTTGAGAAATTAAATCTGAGTTTTGAGGGAGGTTTTATGGTTTATTTAGCCCATTCTTAGCCCAATAATAACAAACACAACCAAAAAGGGGTATTATCACTTTTAGCGTCAGAAATTATTTATTCTGGTAGTCAAAAAAGTGTATAATTTTTGTAAATAACATACAGAATATATATATATATATATATATATATATATATATATATATATATATATATATATATATACCAATTTTATATATTTTTTTGACTATTATTTTTACTGCAGCTATACAGTGTCATTTTTCCGAACCAAATTGGATAGAGTTGTTCGGCCCAGTTTAGCACCATGTCGAAAGGGCTGGGATGTTTTCTCTTGGAGAAATTTGTAGTCTTCGAAGTTCTAAATTCTCATGGATTTCCTTGGTTTAATTTTGTGATCAAAGTCTATTCGATCGGCATAATTTTTCTGTGTCATTCAATAAAGTATTTTAAGAAATTACAATTTCAATTTCGATGAAACCATCCTAAATCTGCTCCAAATGATCTCAGATTGAACTAAACCTTCAAGTACCAACACAAATGCTCCTCAATTACCGGTTTAGTCAAATAACACTAAATCAAGAAGACCCACATTTTTTTTCCAAGACTTTCCCAGGACCAACATTTCAATTTTGAGAGTTTTAAAGTAAATCACTAAATCATTGCTTGAACTAATAAATTATCAACATTCAAATAAATTTAACAATAATTAATCATTAGCTTCCAGCTTCTACCCAATCAAAAATTTAAAGCTTCCAATATTAAAGAACTATGGTGTTCTTGGTGAAAAAGATGTATATTTTTGTAATAAAGGCAAAAAATAATAATATTTAAAGACTAGCACTTTAAGGGGACAACCGGTGCAATTTTGTGCATTACTTTCCTTATCTCAATCAATGTTATATTACTTCTTCCTTGGGCCTCAACTAATGCTCAGTTGCTCACAAATGCACAATGGATTGAAGAAGTAACTTAAATAATCATCTACTTAATCACTTAAACTGAAAATAGTCGGGGATGTATAATATATATATATATATATATATATATATATATATATATATATATATATATATATATATATATAGCCATATAATTAGTTTATAATTTATGTATATCGACTAGGAAAAAAAAATAATAAATTCGGTTGGCTATTTGTGTAAGAATCTCTCATGGATTTGTGGACCTCAGAATGCCTCCTCTTTGGGCCAAGAAAAATAGCCCTCCACTGGCTCAAGTCCTGCTTTCAATTGTGAACCCTGTCAACTGATGCTTGGGTTTTATTCCCATGACTATCTAAACGGAATAAAATATTTATCAATTTATACTATTTCCAAAAAAAATTGCTCCTTAAGAAATTATATTGCATGATTTATGCATATTATATGCCTTCGGGGTGTACAATTCACATTTTATAAATATTTGTTCCTAGTTATGCATGGAATGTAATATTCTTTAAAATGAACATTTTCGCATAATATTTTTTGGCTTTGACCGCACCGCATAAATTTGCCTTGATTTTTTCTATTACCAAATTTCTTCCGCGAGATCTAAGAAGCGCGGTAGATACTTCCCAATCTTCTAACATAATTTTGTTTCAAAATATGTATATCTTGTGCACAACATTGACTAATATATGGTTATTACTAAATATAAAGTAGGTAGTAATAATATGAATGCATAATGGAATTTTTGGAATGTCAAATTTTGTGTCCTACATTACAAGATCATTATGATTCGAAGTGGACTCACATAGAATAAGCATTATTATATTTTGGAACTTAATGCATATGTTACGTAGTATGCCCAAGTTTCTCATTTGCAATTATAGAAAAGCCTCGATCTACCTAATGAAACTATTGTATTTAGCAGCAATTTGAATTTGTTAAGTGCAAAGCTAGACTCCATCAATGTGCAGTCTTCTCAAAAAGGTCATATCCAAGATTTATTTCTTTGGGATGACCGACATTAATTTATATACTCGTTTCAGTAATGGGGAGTAGAAGAAAATGTAAAATAATTTCAAAAATTAGATTAATTGAATATTATTTTTTAAGCAGAGATGTTATATATAGTTGCAGTGAACTAGAATATATTTTTTGAATATATAGATCGGAAGATCTATCAAGTTTCAAACTTAAAGGTTCTTTCTTTTTTTGTGTGATTATAGCTCGTCTTAGGTGGAATTCGTATATACTTAATTAAAAAGAATAATTGTTTAAGGATGTTTTTGGTACGAAGGAAAATATTTTTCATAGAAAATGTTTTCCTAGAAAATGTTTTCATGAAAAATAAGTGATTTTGTCACTTATTTTGACTTGTTTGGTTGGTGAGTGAAAAACTTTTTCCGGAAAATATTTTTTAATGTTTGGTTAGAGAGTATAAAATATTTTTTATGTTACTCTCCTCACCTTTTCCCCAAGTCCCATGTTTCCTTGCCCCCCCCTTCCCCCAATCATCCCCCAAATTCATACAAACCCAAAGAAGCTAATGTGGTGCTTTACTTTTTTTCGCAAAACAACAGTGAAATTTATGTTCCATAACTATAAAGAAAATACTCTTTTTTGATTGAAAGAGAGAGTACTTTTTCTACAACATGAAAATAAAGTACTCATTTTGTTGAAATGAAAGAAAATACTTTTTCTACATCACGAAAAAAATATTTTTTTTTGTTAAAATAAAAAAATACTTTTTTATACATGAAAATAAAATACTCATTTATTGAAATAAAAAAAAATCTATTTATAACATGAAAAGAAAGTACTATTAATAAAAAATTTATTTAGGGTGGGGCGTGGGGGTGGTTGGTGGGGATGGGGAATAGGGTAGAGAAGGTTAAAAAAGAGTTTTGAAAAATATTTTCCCTTCTCTTGATAGAGAAAATATTTTCCTCCAATTGGAGAAAAAATGAGTTCATTAGGAAAATGTTTCCCAAAACATTTAAATCAACCAAATATGAAAAAATTGGAAAATATTTCAAAAAAAAATTTCCTTCGTACCAAATACAATCTAAATCATCATATGTAGTAATTTTCAGGGGTCGATCCATAAAGCAAGCAAGCAATTGATTTAGGCCTCACATTTGTGGGGGCCCCATTTTTTTATTACATCTAATAGTCTGTGTATAAGTTTAAAAAAAATTCTACGAATTGAAAAAGCTTGATTTCTTTCTTTAACAAACTTGCAACTTCTATGACTTCTGCCAAGAAAATTGCACTTGAAATGAATATCGACCCCGAATTTCGTAAGAAATGTATGATATGTAGGAAGTAACAATTTGATTAGAATGTTGATAATGAAATCTCAAAAATTTTCGAAGAGTCTTTTGGAGTTGATTACTTTATACATAGTAGACAAGGATTTTTTTCACTTCAAAATAGATTTGAACAATTCGAAGCATATGAAAATATTTTTGATTTTCTTTTAGCGGTAAAAATTATGATCACTACATGATGAAAATTTGAAAAAATATTACCTTAATCTTGAATGTTCCTTAAAGCATAATAATCAATTCGATATTGATGGTTTAGATTTATTTTTGGAATTAAAAATATTAAGAAAAATAGAACAATTAGAAGATAACAGTTTAGTTGATACACTCGGTCAAATAATAAGATTTGATTCTTTTTTCAATGCCTATATTACTTATGGAGTATTAATAACTCTTGTTTCCGTCTCTTCAACGGAAAGAAATTTTAAAATTAAAATTGATAAAATCTCACCTAAGATCAATAATGTTTCAAGAAAGATTCACACCATTGGGGTTCGGTGTAATACTGTAATCTCAGCAGATTCACACCCCCTACCCCACTCAACCCCCTCGTACCCCCCACTGCAGCCCCCCCACCCTCCATTGAAGAACATAAGAAAACAGAGTACTACCACCCCCCTGCTCTGTCCTTCTCTATCCCTTTCTCTCTCTAACTTTACTCTTTTTCTTTTTTCTCTCTCTCATTCTTTGCCCTTTGTTGTCTCTTCACTTCTTTTTCTCCATCACTTTGATACCAAAAGCAACCACAACCCCTTTTGCTTTTTCTCCTCAAGGTTCCACTCTTGAGAACCTTATCAGCAGAAAATCCTATCTTTCATCATCAGCTAACATGAACCCTCTAGGTATATTCATTTCTCTTTTCTGATTAATTATTTACCTGATATAGAAAGTCGGTGTCTTTAATAAAATTGTTCTTGAAAATCCAAGTTTTTTTTTTTGGTTTTGTTCAATGCTTGGCTGGTTTTTCATTCTTGGTATTTGTTGAGCTGTAATGCGGTTTTACTTTTAGCATTAAAAGTTGTAATTTCTTTTCTCTTTTTTTTATGGGTGAGAAAGAACTGAGAAGCGGCCTTTTTTTGATTGAGCTGTAATGTTGTTTTTGCGTTGCTTTTGTATGGTTTTTGAGCTTATTTTTGTTGATTTTTGACGTTATGCAGGGTTGAAGCATTCAGATGAATCAGATCTAAGGTTGTGAATGGTTTTGGCATTTTCAGGTTATCCTTAATGAGGTCTTTTTTATCCTTTCTTAACCCTTAAGTTTTTCAACTGATAAAGATTTAGGGTTAAACATACTTAAGACTCTGGTGTATTTGAGGTTTATTGAGCATTAGTGTAGCTTGAGTTATTTCTGAGAGAAGTTGAAGGGTTTTGGTTCAGTGTTTATTTTTCTTGAGTGAGAACTAGTAGCCTTAATAATGCAGAGACCACCACAAGAAGATTTTTCACTTAAGGAGACTAAACCCCACCTTGGTGGAGGGAAGGTCACGGGCGATAAGCTTACTAGCACCTATGACTTGGTTGAGCAAATGCAGTATCTTTATGTTCGGGTGGTGAAAGCAAAGGACTTACCTGGGAAGGATGTAACGGGTAGTCTTGATCCTTATGTTGAGGTTAGGCTCGGGAACTATAGGGGTACGACCCGTCATTTCGAGAAGAAGTCAAATCCCGAATGGAATCAGGTGTTTGCTTTTTCCAAGGATCGGATTCAAGCTTCTGTACTTGAGGTGAGCGTGAAAGATAAGGATCTTGTTAAGGATGATTTTGTTGGTCGCTATATGTTTGATTTGAATGAGATCCCAAAAAGAGTGCCCCCAGATAGTCCTCTTGCTCCGCAGTGGTATAGGTTGGAGGACAGAAATGGTAACAAAGTTAAAGGAGAGCTGATGTTGGCTGTTTGGATGGGTACTCAAGCTGATGAAGCCTTTCCTGAATCTTGGCATTCCGATGCTGCGACTGTTAGTGGTGCTGATGCTCTTGCAAATATAAGGTCTAAGGTGTACCTCTCACCAAAGCTGTGGTACCTTAGAGTTAATGTGATTGAGGCTCAGGACTTGATTCCCGGTGACAGAAGTAGGTTTCCAGAAGTTTACGTGAAGGCCATCCTTGGAAATCAGGCATTGAGAACCAGAGTTTCCATGAGCAAGACTATCAATCCGATGTGGAATGAGGATCTGATGTTCGTAGCAGCAGAACCATTTGAGGAGCCATTGATTTTGAGTGTGGAAGACAGAGTTGCACCAAACAAGGATGAAGTTCTCGGAAGGTGTGCTATTCCTTTGCAGTATATTGATAGGAGATTGGATCACAGACCTATTAACAGTAAGTGGTATAATCTTGAAAAGCATATAATGGTTGAGGGAGAAAAGAAGAAGGAAATCAAGTTTGCAAGCAGGCTTCACATGAGGCTATATTTGGAAGGAGGTTATCATGTTCTGGATGAGTCAACCCATTACAGTAGTGATCTTAGACCAACTGCAAAACAGCTGTGGAAGTCCAGCATTGGTGTCCTAGAATTGGGTATTCTGAATGCTCACGGCCTCTCGCCGATGAAAACAAAAGATGGGCGGGCAACAACAGATGCCTATTGTGTTGCCAAATATGGGCAAAAGTGGGTCCGAACAAGGACAATTATAGATAGTTTCGCTCCCAAGTGGAACGAGCAATACACTTGGGAAGTATTTGATCCATGCACTGTCATAACTATTGGTGTATTTGATAATTGTCATCTGCATGGAGGAGATAAATCCGGAGGGGCAAGAGACTCGAGGATTGGGAAGGTCAGGATCCGGCTTTCAACTCTTGAAACAGATCGTGTTTACACACATTCTTATCCACTACTGGTCTTGCATCCTACCGGGGTGAAGAAGATGGGTGAAATTCACTTGGCTGTAAGATTTACTTGCTCATCATTAATGAATATGATGCATATGTATTCTCAGCCACTGCTACCTAAAATGCACTATATTCATCCTTTAACTGTCAGCCAGCTCGACAGCTTAAGGCATCAAGCCACTCAGATTGTCTCAATGAGGCTGAGTCGTGCTGAGCCACCTTTGAGGAAAGAGATAGTGGAGTATATGTTGGATGTTGGTTCCCACATGTGGAGTATGAGGAGAAGCAAAGCCAACTTTTTTAGGATTATGGGAGTTTTAGGTGGATTAATTGCTATTGGAAGATGGTTTGATCAGATATGCCATTGGAAAAACCCCATTACGACTGTTCTGATCCATATCTTGTTCTTGATACTGGTTCTATATCCGGAGCTTATTCTGCCTACCATTTTCCTTTATCTCTTCTTAATCGGAGTTTGGTATTACAGATGGAGGCCTAGAAATCCTCCCCACATGGATACTCGTCTTTCTTGTGCTGATAATGCACATCCTGATGAACTGGACGAGGAATTTGATACTTTCCCTACTTCACGTCCTCCTGATATTGTTCGGATGAGGTATGACCGTTTGAGAAGTATTGCAGGACGGATACAGACTGTGGTTGGTGACTTGGCTACTCAAGGCGAGAGGCTGCAGTCTTTGCTTAGCTGGAGAGACCCTAGAGCAACCGCACTGTTTGTTATTTTCTGCTTGATTGCTGCCATTGTGCTCTATGTCACGCCTTTCCAAGTTGTGGCACTCTTGACTGGATTTTATGTGTTAAGACATCCGCGGTTCCGTCACAAGCTACCATCTGCGCCGCTTAATTTCTTCAGAAGATTGCCTGCAAGAACAGACTGCATGCTATGAACTCTACATTTTGCTTCTGTTAATCTTTATCATCCTGTGTTTTCCCCCTTTCCTTTTGTCTCGAATCGATGAAAATGATGTAAAAAAGTTGGGCTTTTCTCCCCTTTCACCAAGTGGTGAATGTTAGATCCTACTCCATGTGTAAGATCTCCCTGAACTATTAGATCTAGTGAATTTACTGTTTATTTATTCTAAAAGTGTTGGCTGCTTGATGCAAATCTATATTCTTATATTTTGTAGTCAGTTTTGATTTCTTAATAAACTAGTATTCCTTAAGGATGAAGTATTGTTGTATTTTGTAGTAGTATATTTTGTGTTGGAATGTTCTGACAATGATGTCTTTACAAGTATGATATATTAATTCTACCTTTCTGCATACCATTAATGTAATGAGGGGATAATTGTACTTAGCATTGTATAATGCAAGTTGACATTATTTTAGCTGGTAATATTTGTCAGCTTATGAACACGAAATAAGGTAGAGATCCTGCAACTCTGTGCTTTGTGTGTTTTATATAATGCTGTTGGATCTGGAAAATTAATACACACCCGGTAAATGAGGAAGTTGGAAAAGGTAAAACATGAAACACAGTAAAAAAGAAAAATAAAAAAGGGGCGGGAAACATGATAGAAGACAAGAAACCCAGGCAACATTTCAAGTTTCAAGCTGCTGAACTGTACTCCCTCCGGTCCAAAATAAGCGATTTTTTGGATGTTTTCACACAGATTAAGAAATCTACCTTTTAGCATTAATTAGCAATGGAATTGACCATATTAACCTTTACTATCTCACATAAACACTCCTAATACATATTTCAACACTATTTACTCCAAGGACAATGTAGGAAAAAAATAATTAAATCACTTATTTTGGACCACAAAAAAAGGCCAAAAAATCACTTATTTTGGACCGGAAGGAGTATCTTTTATTTTCCCAAGAAAAATTGTTCATGGGTCCAATAATCTAGTTTCTCTCGAACACTCTAACCTATAAATACAAAATAAAGTGTAATTTAATCTTTTCCAAAAGCTTTGAATATTAATCTTGACAGTTCGGTTTCCTATTCTCTTGCTACTCTCTCTCATTCACTTTTACTTGGCACGTTTTGATTTTTACGCCCCTTAAGAAATAATAACTGGAGTGCATAATTTACCATGATATCCATATTAATTGATGCATATTTTATTGAATTGGAGAAAATAATTTGAAATGAGTAATAAATACTATGGGTATAACATGAAATTTTTTTTTGTCTTTTCCTGCTATGCGTAAAGTGATAAATAAAAATGAAAATTTATTTTTAGTATATATGTCAAGTAAATGTGAACCGAGGAAGTTTATGTTTTGTTCAATTGATAGTAAACGACAAGTTTCAGAGATGAGTTGGCAGGTGTTTTGAAATTATGTTGCGTAACAAGTTTCAGATTTCAATGTAACATTTAACTTCCATAGACTGTTTGAATTAAGCTTTACCATTTTTAATTCTCTCCAAAAGAGACATCCTTTGTATGTATCCTATGCGTAATTAAGTTGGTCCAAAACTATGTTGTCCAACTCTTCAAAATGCCGCCACATCTGTATTGTATCTTGCAAAAATATATTATTTTTTATGAATTCGGCAACCATCTTGAAGAGTCCGAGCAATATAGATCCAAACAGCACCATATATACGTACGCATCCATAATTGTTGTTTGGTACTTTGTTTATACTTTTACTATAAAAAAAAAAGTTTTTTATGCTACACTGAAATAAGATAAATTGAGCACTTGGCCTTCACGACCAAGTTTTTCATTTCTGGCATATATTAAAACGGAGAGAACCATCTCTTGTCAAAAATTGGTGCTTTGGGTCTTTAGAAGCAAAAGTAGGTTTGAATATAGACTCATTCTACTTTTAGGTGTTGTGTAGAACTTAAGCATCAGTTTATAGTCAAGAGGTGGTGGAGTAAATGTCCAAAAGATAATGAAAACTGAACGGCAGAATATAACCCATTGGCCATTGTAAATCAGTTACGTTTAAAGAAGAAATTAACAAATATTCATTGCAATTGACACTTAATTTTTAAAAATGTCACGTCCAAATACTTTGCTATTCCTAATTTTACTGATTTAAAGGACTTGCTTCCTAATTTACTGGCTGCCACTTTGATAAATGATAAATCATATCATCATCATCAAAATGTATGGATTACATCTTTCCTGTTGTGGTTTTCAAACACAATATGAAATTATAGAACTTTTACTTCTCCTCTGCTGAATTCTTTTTCTTGAAATAAAGTTTGACTTCTCTCGGATGCTACATATTTACCAAAGGCAATATAAGCTTCCATCATAAGCATTATATACGTTTATTCCTTAATGCATGCTACAATTATATCAGTACTGTAACCTAGGGTGTGTTTGGTATGAAGGAAAATATTTTCCAATTTTTTCATGTTTGATTGGTTTAAATGTTTTGGAAAACATTTTCTCGTGAATTCATTTTCTTCCAATTGGACGAAAATAGTTTTTTATCAAAATAAGGGAAAACATTTTCCAAAACTTTTTTTTCAACCTTCTCCACCTTATTCCATATCCCACCAAATCCAAATGGAGAATAAATGGAGTGAATCCAAATCCCTAAATCAATTTTCAGAATTTGCACTTTTCTTGAATTATTTATTAAAACTCAAATACATATTTTGAATATCAATTATGTCGTTTTAAAAAATTAATTCTCATTGATATTGGATACGCGCGTGTCTAAATACTAAAAAGTGGTACATAGGGATAGTTGGATAAACAAAAAATGAGGAGAGACATTAAAAAAAAAACAATCAGAACTAACACAGACATTGCAGTTAAAACAATATTTATTTATTGGTGTACTTAAAGGAATAGTACCACCGTACGCTCAATTTTTTATATTATAGTCTGACAATCACAAAGAATTCATAGCGAGTGGATTCTCACTAAAAGCATTATTCTCTAAGTGTTTTCTCACATTTGTTTCAAAATATTTTATATGTATAAGAATTTTTAACTTTTATAAATATGGAAAGGCTTTAGCACTACTTCCTCCGGTTCACAATAAGTGTCCAATTTGTTTTTTCATTTTGGTTCAAAATAAGTGTCCAGTTATGTAATCAAGAAAGAATTCAATTTATTTTTACAAAATAACCCTATGTACATATCCCTAAAAAGTTTTCTTACTCCTCACATTAAATGTTTAATTAGGGGTAGTTTAGTCATAGTAGGTATTTTTATATAGAATTTAGTATTTTTTTAATGGGCGTGCTAAAAGCAAATTGGACACTTATTGTGAACCAGAGGGAGTAATTGATAAACTCTACGCCTTGGGATTTGAGATGCAAGATTAAATTATCTAGTCATCTGTACGTTTTCGTAGAATTTCAATTTCATTAGTATTCTTTGAAAAACTCCATAGCCAACTCCTCACAAATCCCTCCTAAACCTCCAGATATTGACCAAATTACCAATACAATTTTAAACTCCCCAACAGAATCTCAAACTAGTTTCAAGGAAAAATTACTTGCAAGCGAACATATAATCGAGATTGATATGGACCATCAGGAAGAGGAAATCGTACAGGAGACAAATGAAACACCATCATTCGAAAATGAAGTAAATCGTTTAACCGGCGGAGTAAGTGCTTCCAACTATCTAACAAGGAAAAAGAAAGGCTTTACTCTACATGGAAATACTCCCTCATCATCAAACTCTTTGGGAAAAGAATTATTCATCACTATTTAAAAACAAAACTACAAGAACTATGGAAACCCACATAGCAGTTTCCACTAATTGACCTAGGATCCGACTATTTCGTAGTAAAATTCACAAAAGAGGAAAATATGAACAATATGCTTAAGAATGGGCCTTGATTTGTCAATGACCATTTTCTCTTTGTGAAAAAATGGGAACCCAATTTTGTCGGTGCAGAAGCAAACCAAACATATGCCGCAATATGGGTGAGATTATCACAGCTACCAACAGAGTATTATGATGGAGCTCTGCTCAAACGAATAGGAAATTTAGTAGGCACACTATTGAAGATTGATGCCTGCACCAGTTCTACACTGAGAGGAAGATATGCAAGACTCTGCATACAAGTTCCATTAGAAGAACCAGTAACCACATGCATTCAAATAGACTCCCACCTTCAACAGATAATCTATGAAGGAGAAGGCTTCCTTTGCAAACACTGTGGCAGGTTAGGTCACACAATTAACTGCTGCCTCCATCACCAACGCAGTAAAACTCTTATCCAGAGCCAATACAAGATAATCAGGCGGCAAATCAAAACTACAACAAAAACCAACACCTCAATCATCAGATAGCTAACGACAAGGCAAGTGAGTGGCTAACAGTCTCCTTCACCAGAAAAAGGAAAACACAAAATCTAAAACATGGAACAAGGGATACCACAAAGGAGAAGGAGATGCAAAACAACTCGGGTATTGGCGTTAATATCTATACAGGAGAACAAGGTAAGTCCTTCCACCCAAAAACTCTAGTCTATGAAAATAAAACTGCTGGGCATTTAAATAGCCACCCTTATTCTAATTACTATAAGGACAAAAATACTAACCCATTAATGTCTATTAATCAGTCCAAAGAGGGCATCAATACCGGCCTAAACACCAGTACTGGGGACTCTAGTTCCCTCACCAATAGCAAGAACACGTATGTTTGGCTAATATCCGATCAAAATGATACTTTAATAACCAATAAATTTGCACTCCTTCCTCTTTCCGAGATGGAGTTAGAGACGGCTCAAAAATAATTACCCCAAACCATTCAACTGTCGTGGCCTCTAACTCTGCCATACACTCCTCACCCCCTTCGATACAAACAAAAATAGACTCAACAAAAGAAATGCCACGTGGGCATACTGTGTCCCAATTAGAAAACTCAAATGCCACTACTCAGTTAGATAAATACACTTCATTAGGAACTAACCAACAGGAAGGCTCCAAATTAGCAGAACATCTCCCTAAGAACAAATTCACCCCTTCTTGCTCTTCACACTTGGCAACAAACACTGGCCAAGTGGACATGCAAATAGATTTGATAAATCTGAAATCCATCTCCCACACGCCAATCCCCCTAATACAATCCACAGTATATCTCACTATAGATTTGCAATCATTATACCCTACAAATCAATTACATACCTCCTCCAATATTAATCAGACTTCTCCTCTCCAAAATGCTACACCAACTTCTTCCATTACACTCAAGAGCACATCTGCTCTTTCGCCCACGCCCTATCAGACTAACAACCAACCCCATGAACAACCTACCACCTCCACTGGTGCAACACCAGTTGGTGTATGCAACTCAACCACTACCCCCTTTTCACCCATCCCAATTCTGGATCGAGCAAGGAATACAGGGACATGCAGTCTTTTTCACAATGATCATCAATGAAAGGGAAGTGTTGATAATCATCCAAAATCCCAACTACTTTGCACAACTAATAAAGGAAGGAATGAGGCTGGCCATGGACAATTACATGAACCACATGTGGTTGGCAAATGTGTTGGATCCCTTGGCTCCAGTGATTGCACAAGTCCTGTGCCACAACATGCACCAACACTGGAACTATCCCCCACACTTCAATCCCCTCCTCAATATGAACCAATTTACGAGCTACCTTTCTTCCCACCCCAAGATATGATCAATGCCAATCCACTATTCTTCCCATGGAAACCCCAACAGGTTCAAGGCCATGCACACCCTCAATAGGTCCCCACGCATATGAATCCACCCCCCCTCCCCCTCCTCAGGAACAAGAAGAGATAGATATGGTAGAGGATATAGAGGAGATTCACCCCCATACGGGCTCGTTCACAGAAATCTCAAGTCTCAAAGACGCAAACCTTATGATATTCCCAAAGAAAGAGGACAAAAAAATACATCCTGAACTGCCAAGTTGCACTGATGAAGTGCTCCTTCAATCTTCGTCCTGCAATAAACAGAGCTCTAGCGAAGTATGCAGTAATGATGACCCAAACCCTGAGGGGAAGTCAACTTCCTGTCAAAGAGAGTCAAGTGACTCTACACCCTCCCAACCAGAATATCCCCATGAATAGGCCCGCTAGTTTTGTAGTTTGGAACATTAGGGGGGCTAATAATGATGCCTTCAAGAGAAATTTCCATGATTTAGTTACCACTCACAGGCCATGCATGATGGCCTTGCTTGAAACAAGGATGGAAAATCACGTGGGACTCAGAGATGAATTCCATTTTGATGATTTCCTAGAGGTACCTGCCCAAGGTAGAGCAGGTGGATCGTTCTAATGTGGCTTACAAACATGGTCACAGTCACTCGTATTAGGCAAGCTGATTAAGAATTACATGCCATGATACAGGTATGCCCTAGTCATATTTCTTGGCTATTTAGTGTTATTTATGCTAGTAAAAAAATAAGTAATCATAGACTACTATGGGATAGCCTAGAATCTATGTCACAATCACACACTGGTCCTTGGTTAGTTGCAAGAGATTTTAATGATATTCATAACCAGGATGAAAAATGGGGTGGGAGACCGATGAGTCGTGGTAGATCCTTTAATTTTTGGACATGCATTATTAATTATAATTTAATAGACCTAGGTTTCAAGGGGTGCCGGTATACCTGGTCTAACCATCGTAGAAGGCATAGAGGGTTAATTCTTGAACGACTTGATAGGTGCTTAGCTAACGAGAAATGGCTCCAACATTATCCGGATGCCACAATTACTCATCTCCCTAAAACTCACTCCGACCATAACCCTCTACTAATAAATATTAGTAATGTCATCTCTAGACCTGCTAATAAGTCCTTTAAACTCAAAATATTTTGGCGTTCACGCCCTGAATTTCGTAATATTGTACACCAAAGCTGGCATCAAAATGAGCTCACTCAAGCCACTAGCCTTTTCCAACATAACATAACTACTTGGAGTAAGGCTACTTTTGGTAACATCTTCCACAAGAAAAGAAGGATTTTAGCACGATTAGAAGGCATACAAAATTCTCATTCATACCCTACTAGCCTCTTCCTCCAAAATCTTGAGAAGGAGCTCATTAAGAACTATAATAATATTTTAAAAATGGAGGAAGACTTCTGGAAAATTAGATCAAGAATTAATTGGCTCAACGAAGGAGACGCTAACACAAAATTTTTTCCACCTTTCTGTTATTAATAGAAGAAGAAATAATAGGATCTCTTTCTTTAAAGACGAAGAAGGGAACTGGATCACGCACCACAACTTCTTAACTCAACACACACTCCAGTACTTCCAAACAATTTTCACAACAGAGCACAGTAGCACCAACTGAAGTAATATCCTTAATACTAGCTACCATAAAATAGATCTATCACCATTAGACAACCCCCTTCGCGACCAGGAAGTTATTCAAGCACTATTTTCTTTTAAACCCTTTAAAGCACCAGGCCCAGATGGCCTACACCCATTCTTTTACCAAAAGCATTGGTCTATAGTAGGAGAGTCTCCCTAAAACCTTAATAACATACTCCTTTTCTTAATTCCTAAATCAAAAATACCAAAAATTTAAAAAAAATCGACCCATAGGCCTATGCAACACTATCTATAAAGTTGTTACAAAAATCATTGTTAATCGTATAAAACCTTTCCCGTTTGACCTTATTGGACCCTACCAATCTAGATTCCTTAAAGGCAGGAGAGCAAGTGACAATGCTATCCTAGTTCAGGAAATTCTAAGACATATTAAGCGTTCAAAAGAGACTAAGGGCAAACTAATGTTAAAAGTAGACCTAGAAAAAGCCTTTGATCGCATAGAATGGTCCTTTGTCTACCGTATCCTACGCTTTTTCAAATTTCCCCCAAAAATCACCACCCTCATTATGAATTGTATCAGCAGCATCAATATTGCTATCTTAGTTAATGGGACAAGAACAAGCTATTTTTTCCCATCACGGGGTATCCGTCAAAGAGACCCAATGTCACCATATATTTTTATCCTGTGTATGAAGCTGCGCTCTACATATATAAATCATCAAGTAGACCTTCAAAGATGGGATCCCATCACCCTTAGTAAGAAGGGACCCCAACTATCCCATCTATTCTTTGAGGATAATTTAACCTTTATATGTAATGCTAATCAAAAATTGATTCTCTCCATTCACCATAGCCTAAGGTATTTTTGTCATCTTTCGAGGCAAAGAGTAAACCCTGCCAAATCCAAAGCTATCTTCTCTCCTTAATGCCATGAGGATACCAAGCAACTTGTTCTCCAACTCCTTAATATTAAAGCAACTGTTAACTTTGGTAAATACCTAGGCTTCCCCATCCTTAATACCAACCCTAAGGCCCCTGACTTCCAATTCAACATTGATAATATGAAAAACAAACTATCTAGTTGGAAAATAAATTTCCCTGCACCGGCTGGGAGAGTCACACTTGCTAAGACTACTCTAAATGCAATCCCAGCATATGCCATGCAATACTTTCTGCTTCCAAAAGCCATTTGTTACACTATTGACAAAATTCAAAGGGACTTCATTTGGAGTTCGCTACCGAAAAAAAAAATCCATTATATTAGTTGGGAGGTGGTCACCGTACCAAAGAGCCAAGGTGGCCTGGGGCTATGCAAAGCCCATGACAAAAATATTTCCCTCCTAACAAACCTCTCTTAGCGTCTCTTCCTACAACCCAATACTCTTTGGGCAAAAACCTTAATCAACAAATACACTTCAAACAAGAACAAAACCTCCCACTCCTTCATCTGGAAAAATATTTTAAAAGGAGGTACTTATTGTTCTAAGGGAATTGCCTGGATCCCTAGGACAAACTCCTCGATTGACCTATGGAATTCAAGATGGATTCCTCATTCACCTCCACTAAGAACAATTGTCCATGGACCCCTAATCTATAACAAGGATGGACTCAAACTCATTCACATATGGAAAGACAATGGCTGGGACTGGACAAAATTATCTGTCCAGTCTCCTCAAGAAACCATCCTCAAAGCCTTAGCCACTAGTATCCCTGCTACTCTTGGGTATAAAGACACACCCTGTTGGGCACTAAATGGCAATGGTATGTACACAACCAAATCTGTATACTCCCTAATACATGCTAGACCTCTAATTCCCTACAACTTCAAATGGTTGGTCGATACATACTCTAGAAAAAATTAAATTCTTCCTCTGGTTATGTTCCCATAATAGACTGCCAACCAAAGCATACCTCCGTCATATAGGTTTAAACATAGAACGTACTTGCTCTATCTGTAACAATACGCAAGAAAACATACACCACATCTTCTTCGAGTGCCCAATTGCAATGAAATTCTGGCTAGACATAGGTCTAAATATCCAAAGCCTCCCTTACCAACAACTACATTGGCTACAACTCCTAAAAGAATTGAATGTTTCTTTACAGAATACACACCTTCAATGGCTCGACTTTCTTCCTTTTGCACTGTGGCATATTTGATTAAATCGCAATCACAACTCCTTTGAAAACACGCTGCAAACACTCCCATCAATATCCCCATCTAAGGGCTTTATAATTTAAACACACCACATCCCCTAGAAGAAAGAACACAGAAAAAAAAAAGACAATCCATGTGAATTGGTCTCACCCCATTGTTGGCTATTTCAAGCTAAATACGGATGATGCTTTCAGCACTAATACAAACAGTGGTGGAATTGGTGGAGTGATTAGAAATTCAAATAGAGATTGGGTAGCAGGCTACTAGAAGTATTCCTATGCTATTAATCACACACATATGGAGTTATTAGCTTTACATCAAGGACTGCAAATAGCAGCAGACTACCATCACAGGCCCATTGAAATCGAAACAGATTCCACTGAGGTCATACAACTACTAGAGCAACAAAGTCCTAGTTACCAAACACTAATTGATTCTTGCAAGTGCCTGTTGAAGAGGTTGGGGAATCCAGTGGTCCGTCATAACTTTCGTGAGACAAACAGTGTCGCCCACTTTTTGGCCAAAGAAGGTTCCAAGCAAGCCATACATAATCAACTATCATTATTCCTGCAACCGCCTGCCCCAGTATGGTCAAGTTTACAAGCTGATAAAGAAGGGGTCACCTCCAAAAAAATAGTATCCGTATCTATGTATAATAACTTGGCACGTCTTGGAAACTTAGGCGCAATAAAAGTAGAAGACGCTAATACTACTAGTACTTCTAATCCTGTAATGCTGGCTCATAATAGAGCGTTTGTAATAGCTTAGTTTTATCTATATAAATTATCCTTTTAACCAAAAAGAAAAAGAAAAGAAAAGAAAAACTCAATCCAAATTCACATTTTCAAACAGTTGAAAACGGGTAGTTTGGGATTGAAGAACTAAATAAATCTAAACAAACTATAAATTTGTTGCTTCGTTACCATTATTACCACTGTTGTTACTTTAAATAGCATGCCACTCCAGTCACCATATTTGTCTCTTACGAACAGTTAATAATAAATGAAATAGAGAGAGCTGAACTGACAAGATTAATATTCAAAGGTATAGGTTAGCGTGGACGAGGGAACTGGATTATTTAACCCCACAAAATTGTCCTTGGGAGTTGGGAGAAAGAAAAAGAGAGAGAGAGAGAACAGCTCACCAGCTTTGAAACTTGACAGGTTGACTGAGTTTCCTCGTCCGTAATTTGCCACAAATTTTTCTTCGCTTTTTCCTTCTTTTCTTAAAGTTCTTTTGAAGTTCCGAGACTCAGGATAGGGATGAGAAAAATCTGGTCAATGTAAACGTTACGCTTAAGATATACCTAGCAACTCCATACGTCTGTACGTTAAAACGCAGCTTGGTACACAAAATATCCTATTATTTATGTAGGATTTAGGGAAGAGCCGCACCCCAAGACGGTATGATGTAGACAACCTATCCTGATACAAGTATTCGTGGCTGATTGTACAACTTAAACCCGTGATCTATAGATCACACAAAAATAATTTAACCGTTGCTCCAATACTCCCCTCCTATACGATCATATAGTAAAAAAAAAAAAAAAGAAAAATTATAACCATGATATCCAAGCCAATGTGCACCTCAAATTCGCTAGTTTGAACATTTTCTCAATACCATAAATTTCTACTCAATTCGCTTCCTTTCTTGAAAACGAAAAACTGCTAAGTAACTCTCTTTTCCTTTCTCAATTAATAGCATTTTGTTACTGATGATAGGCTATAATTGCATATTTTAGTCGCTTATTACACTCGAATTTACTGCACTTTAATTGAGTTTGCACTTTAATCGCTAGTGTTTTGTACTAATTGTGTGTTTTATGCCTTGTAGGTGTGATTCCGAGCTATATATATGTTATGGAATGAATTTAAGTGATTTAAAGCTTTGAAGTCTGAGTAAAAGCTCAAGGAATTAAGCCGGGATCGTGTTCGGAGGTCAAATTTGATAATTAAGTACGAACGAAGACTTGAGGAGGCATATTGCGCACTGTCTAGTAAAATAGACATAACTTTTCGCTCAGAACTCCATTTGGGATCCACAATATATGGTTGGAAAGCTAACTCAAAGGGCTACAACTTTCATGTTTTACGTTTTTCCAAATTCCAAACGGAACAGGGTGAAAACCCGCGGTTTTGCCGCAACCGCGGCAGAACCGCGGCAGAGTGTACTCGCGGACAACTGAAGAATCAGAGGGCATGTTTGGCCGCGGTTCCACCGCGACCGCGGCAAAACCGCGGCAAAACCGCTGCAGGAAGCGAAAATTTCAGGGACTAAAGTGCAAAACATGTGATTTTAAGTCCTAAACCCTATATTAAACAAAGGAGGCCGGCCAAGAACAAGAAGGGGACATATTTTGGACACAAATTAGACCTAAGGAGGCGGAGAGACACTACTTTAGGGTTAGACAACACCCTTGGAGGCAAGAACACATTGGGAGCAAGGCGGAGAATTCTTCTACGAGTTTTTTCCTTCCTCTTCCTATTTTTTTCATTGTTCGTTATGACTTTTAGTATTGTAGTTTTACATACTATTATGAATAGCTAATTTGTTATCTAGAGTTTTGATAGAACCTTTTGTAGGATAAATTCTTGTTATGTTTTTATATAATTGAGCCATAGCTTTTCTCTATTTGTTCAACTACGTTTGTATTGTGGTTGGTTGAAGAGCTCTCAATTAGCTGTGCCTATTTAGTATGCATAACTCGGGAGAGAGTGCATATTTAGGTAATTGTTGAACAACACCACTCCCAGAGTATATAAGGGATCAATAACCGAGGGTTTAAAGGTGGGATTAGGGATGACGAAGCCTTGGGTGCGATCTGAAGTGAGCTGTATTAAAAGCCAGCTAGCGTAGCTCGGGAGAGTGCGTCTAGTAAATTGTCGTAATTACTCGGGAGAGATTTACGGTAATAAGAGTGCTCATGATCGGTAGAGAATACTTGGGCGAAATTATAGAAGACATAGCGGGAAGGATTCCGACAATAGGGGAAATCATAACTCTAGACCTCCTTAATCTTTTCTATAACCCTCAGTATCGTTAGTTGTTAATTTATAATTTGTTAGTTAATTAGTTAAACAGAAGAATCTTAATATCTATAAGTTAGGAATTGTTCAAGCTTGTCTTCTTGGTGATAGTGAACAGCTGTAGCTAAATCTTATTTCTCTGTGGGATTCGACTCCGGACTTGTAAACCGGATTATATTTGCAACGACCGCATTGTCCTTTTTATAAGGCATAGTTGGGCGTGATCAGTTACATTTTTCAACATTTCTCATTTACCGGGTTTTGTAGCGAAAAATCCAAAAATGGCCAGTTTTTCGCCTGGTCAATCAAATGTAGCCACATAATCACCGGTCAACGAAATTTAGCCACTAATTTAGTGCGGTAACATTTTGTTGACTAAAATACCCCTGCTTTTTTTATTAATTTACGCGACTTCACCTTAAATTTTTCTTTTAACAAAACTTAACAAAATCTTCCGGCATTAATTTTCAAATCGAGTTATTAGGAAAATTTTCGCCTTCAATCTGTAAATCGAAATATTAGCAAAATATTTCGGCGTTAATCGAGGTATTCGCAAAATCTTCCGGCGTTAATTTGCAAATCAAAGTGTAAGCAAAATCGTTCTGCGTCAATCTGCAAATCGAAGTTTTAGCAAAATTTCCGTCGTCAATCTGCAAATCGAAGTAAGTTCTATCTAAAATTTGTCTAATTATTTAAATTTCTTCTACGATCAAGAATTCAAACCATAAAATTCAAAGTATCAGTAAAAAAATTTAATTTTTCGAATTTTTGATTTGTTTTTAATGCTTTAATCTGTGTTATTGTCTAATTTTCTCAATGTAGAACATAGCGCCAGTATAATTTGTTGCACGTTTCTAAATTAATATCTAAAGCGAAGATTTTTCCAGCCTATTATACTGGAAATCTCATAAAAAAAGCATTATAATTCACTTGAAGTATGTTTCGTTAATGTAGATATTATGTTATAATATAATTGAGTTTTGTTTGAATCCAGTATATTTTACGGTACGTCACCTGTGTGTAATGTTTTTCTCCAATATGTTATACTGGATAAGTTTTCAGACTAGATTATAATTGAGTTTTGTTTTAATCCTGTATATTTTACGGGACATCGCCTGTGTGTAAGCTTATTCTCCAGTATGTTATACTGGATAAGTTCTAAGACTAGAATATAATTGAGTTTTGTTTTAATCCAGTATATTTTACGGGACATCACCTGTGTGTAAGCTTATTCTCCAGTATGTTAAACTGATGAATATTATATTTTTAAACAGTATAATTTCTAGATATCTAATTATTTGGGTTCATTAAATACAGGATGCATACAAATTTCTTGATTATTACGTTCGATGGCAAATGGACAGCAGATTACAAGTACTTGGATCATAAAACGAAGCTCCTCCTGATAAATGATGGGACTTCATTTGAAGAATTCCTTAGAAATTTTTTTGAAGTTATAGAGCTTGACAACAAAAAGTTTCAAGCAAATGTATGGCTTAATATCAACCTAGGTACTTCTAAGGGAATAGAAGTGACAAAAGATGAAGATCTTATTATGTGTATGATTCTTTTAAAAAATGATCCATACTATAAAGATTCGAAATTTGTTGTTGAAATATCAGAAAAACCAGATCAACAACTAGAAGGTAATGCAATAATGGAAATTGATAATCAACAGTTATTGCACAGAAACACATATGGTCCGGAAGAGCAAGTGTTGCTGATATCTCAAGTTGAAGAAGAGCAGGAGAATCCAATTTATGATATTACAATGGAAAAAGAAATTGTAATTCCTGTGGAAGATCAGCACATTGAATCACTACAAAGTATTAAAGGAAGAAAAAGGAAAGGAAAAGGAAAGGCAAAAGAATCTCCATCAATAATATTGAAGGAAAATGCATCACTGGATGATGTAAAACTTGGTTCTGTTTTTCAAGATAAAAATGCCATGATTAGATGTTTTTGCTTAGCAGCTATAAAGGAGCATTTTGAGTTCTATGTTAACAGGTCAAGTAACACGAGATACTCTTTGGTATGTACTGATGAAAAGTGTACTTGGACTGTTCGAGGTTCAAGAATTAAGGAATCAACACTTTTTAAAATAGTTAAATTTCAGAGAACACATGAGTGCTCAGTTGATATTCGAAAATCAGATCAAAGGCAAGCAACTTCAAATGTGATTAGAGATTACGTGATTGACAACTTAAGAGACATAGCTACTGAGGTAAAACCTAAGTTATCATTT